AACCGAGTCTGCTCGTCAATTCCAAAAGTTGCTTGAGGCAGCAAGTATCAGAGACCACAATTCAGTCCCTAAGAGCAGAGAGAGAAGGAAACCTAAGGGAAGGGCGCAAGAATGAACGACGTTCCAGTCAAGTAGTACCGCCATCATCGCCGAAACAATCAAAAATAATGCCGTCGGCATAGCCCAGTTGGGCGCCAAGTGTCCGATGTGGGTTTGCACTTCTTTGAAGTTTCGTTTCGCACTCACTCAAGCCTCATTCGCGTGTTTATTCTTAAAGTTCTGTCCAGAAGACTTTTATTTATGATCACACACCAAGTAACATATACCGGTGCATCATGATGCCTAGTGCTTGGTTGACGAGCGAAAACAGCCTTTGCAGAACGATGTCGCCCTCCTGTCTTGTATGACTCCTGCCTATCAACGTCGAGACTTGGTGACGAGAAGAGAAACAGACAGGCGCGAAGGTTGTCAAGGACGGCTCAACGGCTCGGGAAAGTCGATAGAGGGAGGCAGTGAAGCTAGGGGATATTGGAGAAATAAGATGGAATGATCCTTGGGATGAAGGGTTTCCCATTCGAGGGTAACAGGGGACACTGCTGTCCTCAGTGGTCAAACGAAGGTCGGACCATGGCAAAAATCCCTCCAACTATGTGAAATTTCAACTATGTGAAATTTCCAGTTTATCCGCTTGGTGTCCCAAGAATATTTTATTTCCTCAAGTAAGTCAGAGCAGTTCTCCATGCTTCTTCTGAACGCGCTCCAACGCGGTTCCAAAATTCGTTTTGCGTATTAAAGGTTGCTTCCGGTGAAACTTGTCTACCTTGACCAGGTGGTGAATTTTATCCCAAAAACATACCAAGATAGACCAGCCCGAGTTGGATGGATGTTCCTAATAAAGAGCTGCCGAAAACCATAACAAGGAGTCAAGTTAGCATGATTTTACAACTTACAAGTTGGTGCTAAAGTCGGACGTCCGCACAGATCCGTACTCGTCAACTACTCGTCAGTGGTCCAGGGACAAGTTTCAGTCCACGCTGCGGGGCTATGGCCACGTTTCGTGACGGTTCGCCACCCTCTTTCACAGATGCGGTGTAAAACAAATTAATTCGACTCTCACCATCCTCTCGAGAATCAGTCCTCTCTCTCTGCTGCCCAGAGAAAGCTATTGAACCTCTCATGTTCCTTTCCCGCTACTTTGCTCTCACTGTGAGCTGCCTTTTGCTCACAGTGTACGCCGCGCCGGTAAGAATACCTTCCGGTCGTTTGGACTGGATTTACGATCATAGGTTTTCTTCATGAATCTCTAGCCAGTTCGATGTCAAGGAACAGTGGAGAATTCTCTTTCTGCCAATAATCATGAGAACGCTTTCTGTGAATGTGAGTGTTCAGTGCTGTATAACAAGCAGTACTGTATCTAACCTTGGTATACGAATTTGGAAATTACCTATTTAGCAAGAGTCTCCACTGGTGTTAGCGACGCTGCGTACGAACAAGCTAAAGAACTGACGGATTACGGGATAATCGTCGATCATGCTATGCTGGATTTTGAAGCCAGGCTCCGAAGCCAAGCCTGGCATCATGCGGAAGATAGGGTGATTTTTAGAACGCGTAGACGTTAGAGGAGTAGGATTGTTCTCCAATTATTTCACTGCATCAAGCGTAGGCTCTGCACCTCATATGCCCAGTAAACGAAGGTAATAGCCTTTGGGGTATTACCTTCGTTTACTGGGCATATGAGGTGCCAATACCACAACGCCAATGACGGTACCGACGATCATGCCAGTTTTGGTGCTAGAGGACTTCATTGAAGGTAGCTGTGGATGCCCGGATCCGTTAAGGTGCTTTCACTCACAGAAATAGAACTAGCCGGCAATATAGCTCGTAACAGGCGCCGCGTGAATGATAATTGTCCACCCTGTGCTGTCTCTCGTTCCGAGCAAGCAAGCTTCCGCGGCGCTAATTACTGTTTTGGGGTGTTCCAAGATCGAATCCCAACACTTGTCTGTCCTTGGTTTTTGTGTAATTACACTTGAACATTCTTTCATTCTCAATGCGAATAGGCATAGTATTCGGGACTTCATCGAATTCTTTGGACTACATAAGAACTTACATCGGAGGCGAAAATATGTTGTTCGGTCTACTAGTCCGCGGTCACCATGTAAATGACAACTACAGTACTGCTCTATAAAAGCCCAACGTCTAGGTTTACTTCAGCTGAAAGATATCTAGTCAGCCAGCCAACCTGCTCACATTATGTTTAAGTTCATCATTATGCTCTTTGTGCTTGTCGTTAACACGACCATGGCCGCGTTCCCTCAAGGTTCTGTTTGCCATTACAAATATCCGGGTCAAATCCAATATGAGATCTGTATCATGGCCACCTACTCTTGCGAATACTTTGCGGGGGAGATTAGACCTTCACTTCTCCCTCTTTGCCTACTGGCTGCACTCCCCTGGATACCTCAGATGTGACCAGTCTCCGGAATGGGCCTGGTGTAACGGTGGAACTGTACAAGTGAGTTTCAATGTTGCCACTTTCTATCTAATTGGTGGTGGTCTCTGAATGAATTTAAATATTTTACTACAGGTCTCCGACTTGTAACCCAGAGGCTCTAGTGGCAACCGTTACTGGCGGTAGTGGGAAACTTTACAGCGACCAAGCATCATTTTTCAAAGCTGTTGCCAGTGTGTATGTTCATTTGTTTGATTCGAGTTTGAGTCAAAACTCACTATATTTTGATACAAGGTCTCAACTCGAGCCATTTGTATGAAATTCATTGCGGACCAAAAAATATAAAATATTCAAAAAAAAATATATAGTGCTAGTAGGCTACTACTAAACATATACTTAACCTTTATATGCAAGTACTTGTATTCCGAAATAATATATATATGCTGAAGTTCCCTTGAATAAATTTAATAAATTTACTTTACTCATTAATCTCTCAACCATAAGTAATCGGCGATTCTGAAGCGATGATGCACCGAAGCCAAGCCTGGCATCATGCGGAAGATATTGACGCGTCGGAGTCTGAGGAAGCGTGATACAAGTAGAAGAGCGATTTTTAAAACGTATATGTAGTAGAGAGTACTGTAAATCAGTGATTGGTGCTTAAGGTCTAATAAGCGCAAATAAGCGCTCAAACCGTTGGACTTTGAACCGCACGGTCCTCGCCACAGCACTTATTGTTTCATAGAATAATCTCCATCTTTGAAATTCTGCACAACCCTACCTCGGAAACGGTTTTCGTCATCCCTGGATGTCTCTCGCTCTCAACAGACTCTCGCTTCAGGCTTGAGCCAGGACTCTGAATCGTCTATTCTTTTGTTCGTCCTCGATTTCATTCAACTCAAACGTATGCGTTTCTCTTGCTTCCCAAATGCTAAGGATACCTAATATGAATCGTGAATACATGGCCGGCTATTGGTGCGCGCGCGCGGGTTGCGCACAGTGGCTATCTAGATTCGATCCATCACATCATTTACATTCTTATTTTTCCGCAACTCTCTCGAAGCTTGCTTTTCGTCATTTATCTAAAATCCCATTGAGTTTATTTACTGCAACTGGGTGCGCTGTGTACATGAAAGGCTGTGAATCCTGTGTTGGAGTCCCAGAGCTACAGAGCAGTTTCAAGGGCTATCGCTATCATGATAGATCGCTATCCAGCCTAATGGATAAGTGGATAATTATTTCAACTCTTGTATCTTGGCAAACTGGCAAATCTTCTCGCGCCTCGTGCCTTGGACTCGGATGCAAACCTCGGGGGCATTTGTATAAATAATACCTCGTGTAGCTTCAGCTGGACTTTATCTTCACCCCTACAGCGCTGGTTCGGTGCGTCCTTCTCGAGAATCCCTTTAGTTTTGGTCTCGTGTTACTGACCGCCTCTCTCTCTCTCTTTTTTTTTTTTTTTTTTCAGCTTTGAGGACTTCAAGTTTTATCCTTCATAGACCCTTTGAACTTGCAGGCCAAGCCATTACCGGTATGCGTTTATATGCATTCTACTGGGTTCCTTCGGCTCATAAAAAGTTTCTTTCTTTGGTCAGAGAGTCATACGCAGAAATTTACATCACCATGCTCCTTACACCGTCGACTTTATTCGCTATGTTCTCCCTAGGGACTAGTTTCCTTGCAGTGGCTGCTGTTCCATTTCCTATCGCTGCTGAACATGAACGACGGGCTGGTAAGCAGAGCATTGGCAGCTATTTTCGTATGATACTTACAGAATGAATGCCTTAACAGGACCATCAGCCGCGGCGTCTGGCAAGCTCATAGTCCCAGTCCAACTGCGGATCCAAACTTTCAACAAGCCAGAAATGTACGATATGCGCTGGTCCTTGCTAGTTGACAAGACTCATGGTGTCGTTGCGAACGGTGGCGATACACTGGACGTTGCGACAGCGCCTTTGGTGCCTACGCAGTTCATATACGACCCCAAAGACGACACTGAGCGTCCGCTGAAAGGTCAGACAGCATCTAAGGCCTTGGCGTACTATGAGGCCAAGTCAGAGGATCCTAAGGCTAAGGCAGGGACGAAGTCTGCGCCGAAGCCACAAGTGACGATTGACAGCCTTGACAATCTGAAAGCCACGTTCGAGAATGAGGCGGAGATTGGACAAAGTGTTGAAAGATCTTGTTACGAAGATAAAGATGGAACAGAACCCGACTATGGAAGATTGGGATGCTATAGCTTATGTGAATAAAGCGATGGGGTATTTAGCGGGTAAGAACGCGGCGGAAAAGAAGTATATTCCAGAGATACCAGCAGCATTCACGCAGCTCGTCCTCAAGAATCATGCGAAGGTTCATGCCACCGTTTGGAGCGGGAAAGCCTAAGCCTACATCTTGAACTTATGTAGATTTTGTGTATGGTAACACGACTAAAACTTGATGATTCCGAGGTGTTTGGTAATTCGTGAAACTAGTTCGAGCTTTTGCGTGCACCAGAATTCATGAAACAAACTAAGAACGAAAAAGGCAAAAAAAAAAAAAAAAGAGCTTCCTTCTAGCCGACTTGAACGACTGACCTCGTCATACAAGTAATACTACTAGTGACGCGCTCTACCAACTGAGCTAAGAAGGAACTACTTGAATCGAGTGAAGCTTATAGTATATATGTTGATTCTATGTACTTATGTAGCTTTCTTCATGTACCAACGAAGTGCTAACCCCTAACCCCTTACGGATTAAAAAGCTGCATAGGTACAATATCTGAAGTTTCTCGTTCCCTCGGGTTAAAACTAAACTAGTGACGTCTTATTCGATCCCATCAAAAGAAGAATCCTGTGGAGATGGTCATCCGCTCATTGTGCATGAGGTATTCCTGACGTCAATATCTGCATTGATTATAAGACTTGTGCGGAAACGATCTTGAAGCCAACGCTTTTTAAGTATGTTCGTTCCATGCTGGTTCATCTTCGCTCCTTACTAACGATATCTCGACAGACAATGACACCTATTCTTCGCTCAGCTCAAGCAGCGCTCAGCAGGACGATGCTAGCTCGTCCAGCGTCCTTGCACACACCCACATCCATCGCTGCGTTGTCCACGCTGTCCACGTCCTACAACCATCCCTCCAAATCCCTAACTCACTATAAACCCTTTCCTCGCTCCATCATTGTTCGTACCGCCGCCTCGACTGTCACTAACCGACCCGCCTCCCAAACCTTCGACCATGCCGCTCTTAACATCGCCGAGGAAGCTGGCAACAGTGCCTCCGACATTGCTAAATCCATCGCTGCAGGCCGTAACATCCCCGCCTCCGATAACTCTTTTGTTGGAATAACTTCTTCTCTCGCTTCCAGTGTCCCCAAACCCGTTATGGCTTTCGGTCTCCTCGGTACAGTCCCTTACATCGGTGCCGGAGCCACGACAGTTTACCTAGCCAGTATCGCAGGTGCTGCCGCAACTGGAGCACCTACCTCCATCGATCCAGGCGTCGCTCTCACCCTCTTCGACCAAGCACTTAACGTGCAAGTAACCTATGGAGCAGTCATGCTTTCCTTCCTCGGTGCTCTTCATTGGGGAATGGAATTTGCTCAGCCTCGTCCTACCCAATCCGAGAGTATCCGGCGTCTCATGCTTGGTGCTGCACCCGTCTTCTTTGCTTGGCCTACGCTTGCTCTACCACCTATGACAGCATTAGCCGTTCAATGGGCTGGATTCACTGGTCTTTGGTGGGCTGATGCGACTTTCTGCAAAATGGGCTGGACTCCCGCTTGGTACTCCCAGTACCGGTTCTACCTTTCCATTCTTGTTGGGACGTGTATTCTTGGTTCGTTGGCCGGGACGTCGTACTATGGACCTGTGGCAGGACACGGGTTTTTGAGTCATGATTTGGCGTTGGTGAGGGAGATGAGGAAGGACCTCATTGGGGAGAAGGAGGGAAGGGTGAAGGGTGTTGTGGAGGCCTTGCCGACGGATGAGAGTGCAGGTGCATATGTGATGTTGAAGAAGAGGGATTTGACTAAGGAAGTGCAGGAGAAGCAAGAGAGGGAGCGGGAGGATCAGGTGAAGACGGATGCGCATGAGATTAAGAAGAGCCAGAAATAAAAGATTCTGTTGTGAGGAAGTCGTTATGAATGAAAGACGAGCCTTCGTAAAAGCCACTGTATTTATATCTCCATTGTACTGCTGTTCGTCTGCATATGTACTTGTTCACTCCTGTATGACCTTCCTTTGTCGATGCTTGCAAGTTACACTTGAGGCCTTTCTCGTGTTCCTTCGAATGAAATGCGTGATGCTTACGTCCTTCTCCATGGTAGTTGGTAGAATGTTATGTTTGTGATCTCGACGATGTCATATATCGTAAACTTTGCAGACATCATCTTGACGATCTTCTACATATATACTACGCCGTACTGCTCCTCTTACGAGCTCCATACTGATTGCTCCTCTCGTCATATCAACCGACTATAAGCTCGTCCTTAGGCATGGTATCGGAACTGGGCATTGACGCTTCGAAAGCATTATGTTGTATACGTTCTCTCTAACGTTAATCCCTTAACTGAAACGTGCCGGTTTTCCTCCTTCCTTCTGGTGGGAAAGGCTTGGGAAAGGTGATCAAATAAATGTGGTGGCGCCGCCGTTTATAGGTGTATAATCGACGCTTTGACATCCGCGTCAATATAGACTTGCTACCGAACTCAGCTTGAAAGGCGGAACGCGTACAAACAATACAGCGGCCTTGATACAAGTATAAATCAAATTAGTAGTACTACCGAGTGGATTCATTAAGAAGCACCAACTCTCCGCCCGCATCACCGACCAGCCTTTGGAATGCTGTTGCTACCACTGAAGTTATCCCATCTTCGGAGCTCGTAACTGAAAATGTTTCGCAATTCAGTGCTGGTGGTTTGGTGGTGGAGGCCAAACCACGGCCCGTATTCTCTCGTGATTTGCTTCGTACAACGTCGTGAATTTTGCTGGTACCTCGTCAATACGTTCCCCGCCCCTTAGCCATTCCAGCGCTTTTTTCACATAATCCAAACCGTCTGCCCCTTCCTCGTAGGGCGGCTCCATTATGTGTATTGCCGTTACAAGCTCGTTGAGCACCTCGTGCATATGTGGCTCATCAGTGAACTTGGCTCTGCACAACTGCTCAAGCTGAGCCTTTCTCCCTGGCCAGGGCTCCTGAATGTGAACGCTGTTGGCACCAAAGGATGCTCAGGGACGGTATGAGCTGGGTGTGCAGGCCCGTGATAATCCAGGTCCCGTCGAGCTCGACGTTAGGAAGCAGTGGGCTCGCTTCAGGAGAAAGCGGTGTCTCAATTTTCAGTATAAGTACATTTATTATTCTATGAATTATTGGACTTTCTCATAGTTTACACATATCTCCATTGTTTCAAGCAAGGTGTTCGCCGCAGCATGCGGCATTTCCCGAGTTGGGTGAGATGACTCTTTAAAAAAAAGATGAATGCAAATTCAGACAATCAAAAAAGGACCTGGCAGTTCTGAATGGCCAACGTGGGGATCGAACCCAAGACCTTCGCGTTAACACTAAGCGCATATTAGCACGACGCTCTAACCAGCTGAGCTAGTCGGCCATGCCTAAACTCCTTGCTAATATATCCACGACCTGCACCACATGACTAGGGCTGCATTACATTTCTATCCAACCAGATCGCACTCTGAATTGGACTACAACAATGCCTCGAGATAATTCACCTAGGTCTCGTCCTTCTCATTCAGATTCTTACTCGGACAAAAGAAGACGTTATGACGACGATGACCGTCGAAGCTCCAGGCGGGACTCAAGAGATAGAGAACGAGGAGGTGCCGGCTCAAGTTCGAGCTATCGACGGGACCGAGACGAACGAGGGGCTACGACTCGCCGGGACAACAGAGAACAAAGCTACGGTGGATATGGGTACGGGGAAGAAGAACGAGAGAGGGAACGGAGGAGAGATCGAGAGCGGTATGACAGGCGACGGTCTGCATCCCCAAGACGACGTTCCTCCTCTCGTTCAAAGTCACCGAAAGACCTAGCAAAACCAAAATTCACGCCCTCCGGCCTCCTCGCAGCCGAAACCAACACCGTTCAAAGTGTGGATGGGAAGAATAGTACGGTGCTAAAGTACAATGAGCCTCCGGAGGCGAGGAAACCTGTCGAGGGCTGGAGGTTGTATGTGTTTAAAAGTCAGGGGCAGGCTCAGAGTGGAAAGGAGGAAGAGGTTGGTGAGTACTTGAGTTAGAGTTGGTTGCGTGCTAGCTAACTAACCCATGCATGTAGAAATCCTTCATATTCAAAGACAAAGTGCATATCTCATCGGAAGAGATAGACTAGTCGCGGATATACCGGTAGAGCATCCGTCGTGTTCCAAGCAACATGCGGTTATCCAATGTATGACCGTCTCTTCTCCACACTCCGTTATCTATCTAACTACACCGACATACAGATCGCCTAGTCCAACAAAAAGACGAATACGGAGGGTCCAAGGGTGTTGTAAAGTCAGTTTATCATCCTAGTCTACTTTTTAAGACATCACTGATGATTCTTCCTCACACAACTACTGCTACTACCTTCTCTGATTCCGGCTCACTTACTCCCTCCCAAAAGACCCTTTATAATTGATCTAAACTCCACCAATGGCACCCACGTCAACGGGGAACAGATCCCAACGTCGAGGTATTATGAGGTGATGGTTAATGATGGTGAGTCAAAGTGAGATTGTATTTGATTACGCTCGTTCTTTGGGTTTGGATTTATTGTTTCGTTTCGGTTTGACGTTGGCTTGGTTTTCGTTGTTTCGTCTCTTTCGCTGCTCTCATTACAGCGTTTGCAAGTTTCATTTCTTCTTTCTTTTCCACTTTGATAGAGAGAAGGCGGGCGGAAGGGGGGAATGAGAGGGGTGTGATTGAGGGATGGGAGGGATGAGGGATGCTTCAAGATTGTGTTACCCATTCAGTTTCGATGAGAGCTCGTTTTGGTGTTTGATCTTTGTTGGATGGGATAAGAACCTCATCCGAATTTAATAGCAGAATTCGGGCGATGGTTTAGGGATGGAGGTGGGACCGATTGTGGTGAAGAGCTCCGTCTGCCTCGGGGACGCGTTTCGTCTTTCATTTTCTGTTTCGCGTCCTTCTCTTCTCTTCATCTTTTTCTCCCCTTAAACCTTTCTTTCGTCGTCGTCCTATCCCATTGAATTTAATAACTAACCCTTCCTCCCTCCCTTCCTGCCTTCATCCCCTCATCCCTCCGCACTTCCGCACCTCCCCTCCCGCTCCCCCTCCTTCGTCTTCTGATCGTCTCGAATGCGCATACCGCACACAGTGATAAAATTCGGAACCTCAAATCGGGAATACGTTTTGTTGCATGATGGGGCTGCGTCGTAGGTTGTAGGTTATTGGGCTCCTGGCGGTGGGTCTAGGGATGAATCGTACGGCGGAGGTCATATAGTTTCGAGGTGCGGGGTATATATGAGAGTGGCAAAGAAAGTTAGGATGAATATGGAGGGTTAGAGCAGAGCGCCGGGGCTGTATGAATGCTGTATGTCCTACGTAGTATGATTCAACCTGACTTCAAGTGTCGGTGGCCAGATTGGATAATGTTAATATGATGCGCTCTCTCAAATAGAGTGTTTGTAATTTGATCTCGAGGACGCAAGTTCCAGTCTTGAGGGAGCGTAAAGAATAAGCTTCGTTCGATTTTACCTTTAATCTTACTTTCGTTGTGTGGCTTGTCGTAATTCGGGTCGGGCGCTAAGTCAATGAGTAGAACTCATGTATGTAAGGCCTTCGATAATTAGAACATGGACAGGTCTGTATAAGTTTAAGATGCTAAATCCCAGTTATTGACCAGTAGCATTGATGATCGTTCGAAGTACTACTTAGTAGAGCGTCTTCGTACTAGAACGTCGCCACATAGTAAGATCGAAAATAAAATCAGTGCACGAGGCCCTGAAAGCCACAAGTGCACGAATGAAGGAAGGTCTATTACACAGCATGGTCCAAGTGCTGAACGACGGTTCCAGAGCATTCGGTGTGGCAAGCATCATCTCTGGGAATCTTGAATAAGAGAGATATTCCTGTATGTGAGGGAGACGGATATCTGTGATCATCATTTCACGGGCCAGAAAAAAACCGACCATGTAGAACGATACTTGGATTATTTGATTATATCTCTTATTCTCACTATTACTTACATTCGGAAGGTTGAAGAGGAAGTGGAAATAAAGGTTGCGTCCATTCGGGCGCCTAATAAAACTCCCTCTTGACCTCGTACCGCGACCATCTTAGTCTCAATTATCTGCCTTATATACGGTGTAGCGACGCTCCATATTATCTTATTCTATCTGATTCCAAAGGTTCTCTTCATTGATAACTTTCACTGTCAACGTTGGCTTCAATGTTGTCGAGTTTTCATTCTTTGTCTCGGTCACAATCGTTTACGAAAGTACTTTGTTTCTTATAACGAACTCGCGGTGGAGTAGGATGTACGTGCCGAAATACCTTGACATTGTCATAACACGCTGCTCATCGTTCGCGACGAATGCGGCCTTTCAAGTAGACTTGCATTACGATCGTATCAAGATAAGGACTCGGTGACTCCCTTGTCACTTTCCACTCACATGTTGCTGCTCCCGATGTCCGTTCTCCCTTGAGATCGCCGACTTTCCTGTTTTTTAGATTCTCAAATATGGCTTCAATCGCCAGCGAAGCATCATTCGAGCATTCTAGCTTAGCATCGTAGTATCTCCAGGCGAGTCTTTCACATTTCTCTTCTTATTTCTACGCTACTGGTAGTCATCGAGCACTGTGGGTTCGACGGCTCTGTCTATTTACAGGTGAAGTCATGCTTCGATCCGACTAGCCGACTCTTCGTTCCTTCTTAGGACGAACCTCTCTTCCACACACCTTCAGCCCCCTGAGGATTATGATTAGTATGAAGGTCAAAAGACAAGTCGGAAAATGCACTCCTGCGACAGAGTTTCGATGATGGCAGAAATGTCATTGAGGAATCGGTGCTCGTCAGTAATAAGACCACTTTTCAGCCATTAATTAGCCATTGATCAGCCATTGAACAGTGATCCCTGCTATCGTATGTAAAGCCTAATGTCAGGTATCAGTCACGGCTAGTTCATCTGTGTAATTGAGTTACTTGCATATGTACAGGCTACGAGTCTGGCGAGAACAGGAATTGAAGCGCCCTTCAATATAATAAGCGCCAAACCCCAATCACTTGCTCATGACGTCCATGTCTATGTCAGAACGTCGCTCACTGCGAATTCAGGAGAAGAAAGTTGTTTCAAAGGCGCAGGATGCGCATAGAATCTCACGGGGCTCAACAGAAAGAGACCTAGAAGAGGACGAGGAGGAACAAGAAACAAAGCGGTCTGAAAATGGAGCTACAACAAATCGTTCAAATGCAAACACTAGCACGAACAAGAAGGGACGGATTCCCGCCCAGCTTCGTGAAAGACAGGGGCTACTGGAGAAACTGGCAAGAGACGTTCCGTTGGATATAATTCTCGAGGTACCGTCGATGCAATCCCGCATTCGTATCGTTGTTTAATTTCCTGTAGATCTTCTGCTATCTTAGTCCAGGCGATCTTCTACAGCTTGCTCGTTCGTCTAAAGATCTACGGGGTATATTGATGAGCAAATCTTCCGGAAGCATTTGGCGTATCGCTCGTGAGAACGTCAGGGATCTGCCGCCTTGTCCAAAAGATTTGAATGAACCTCAATATGCTCATCTCCTCTACGATTCCTATTGCCATGTGAGTCTGTTGTCGTGGCTCTATAAGTAACAAATTCAATTCCGTTCTAGGTATGCAACCACAAAGGGCGTTGTGACAATGTTCTCTGGTCTTTTCGCATGAGGTGCTGTAGAAATTGTATACCGAGCTTGTACGTATTCCATGCACTGTTGAAGATTTTATCAGTGTCCAAGTCCTCGTTCTATAGCTTCCCTCCGTTTGATCTAAAGTTCCTCGAAAGCCAGCCATCAGAATTAAGAAATTGTCAGGATATATTGCCAGTGGAATTCATCCCGGGAGATGGTCAGTACGTTTAACACTATCCGTTCCACAATGACCAAATCCGATTATAGGAAATTACGTATCCAGAGTTCATACTAGACTGGCAGCACAATTAAAAGCGGAATTTGAAACCCTTTCTCCTACGAGCGATCGCAGCGCTTGGCTTGCTGAAAAGAAAGCAGACCGAAAAGCCAGAGAATCAGTGAGGACACGCTATACATGTTTCTAACATATACTTACAGTCATTTCTTCCAGCACGGGGAGTTATGTGAGATGTGGCTCCAGGGTAGATTGGATGAGCGAGCCCGGGAATTGAGTCATATTCGCGAACAAAGGAAGGAAGCGTGAGTCTCTTGTACCGATATGCCCCAGACGCTCAAAAATCCTCCAATCAGCATCCTCGTTTGTTTAGACGGAATTGGATGGTGCGAGGAAGCCAAAATCATAATGTCTGGTTGGAGTGTGTATCTGGGTTGCGATGAGTTCAGCAACCATAAATCAGTCAGACAATCAAAGAAGCTCACAGAATACGGTACGAATGCTCTTAGATGTTTTTGTCGGATTCA